ATGGAAGGAGCAGGGCTGTGGCATCCCAGAGCCAAACCTCGGCACCTCCTGCTGCTGTGGGGCACGAAGGAGCCTTTGCAGGAGGCCAGGTGAGCACCAACACCTCTGTGCTCGGCCAAGGGGGTGGCTCTGAGACCTCCCACTCCACCCGTGCAGTGCAGACCCCTGTCCCTCCACTCCTGGAGGAGTTTGCACCCCCATTTGCACCTGAAACGCAGGTGACACTGCGTCACGGTGCCATTGACCCTCTTGCTGCTGTTTTTCTTCTATTTATTTTTTTTTCTCAGGTCTCCCTGCCAGAGCTCGGGGACACCAGGAGCCACCTCGTGCAGAAGGGTCGGAGCAGCAGCCCCAGCTCTTTTATCAGGGTGGGCCCCGCAGGCGGGTGCCAGCAGCAATAACTGTGGCTGTTTGCCCCGAGCACACACATCCCCCCAGTAAATGGGGTTTATGGCAGCATCTGGGAGATGGGGAAGCCTGGAAAAGGCGGCCTGAGGAGGTAATAAAGAGGAGCGGCCCTGCTTGGCCCCGGGGCTGCTCAGGAAATGGGTGTATTTGACTGGGGGGAGGAGGAATCGAAGGGGATCGGGTTGGTCTCTGCTCCGGAGAGACTTCAGTGGTTCGGGGGCTCTGAAGATGCTCCCTGGTAGATCTGCACAGGGTCACTGCACAAATCAAAAGCCTGATGGCTTCTCTGTCCACGCCTGAGAGTTCTTCCCCTTGCACTCTCTGGCCTTTGGTTAACTTTGGGGTTGCAGCTCTGCTGGAAAGCCCTTGTCCCTCCCCACCCAGGTCCCCTCCAAGGGCAGTCTGGCCGATCTCCACCTTACTCCTGGACGCAGGAGGGTTTTCTTAGTCCCTCTTCGCCATGGGGCAGCAGGAGCCAGTGCCTGGCTCCTTCTCCCCATGGTGGCAGCTATTTGTGCCCCTCTGCGGGGGGTTTCTGGGGGGGATCCCAGGGGAGCATGAGCAGCAGCTCAGCTGGATGCCAATGTCATGCTTCTCACTGTTTGCTCCAGTTTGGTGGCACAGGGACACTGTGTGGAACCAGCTGTGGGAACCGTGACCAGAGGATGCTGCTCTGCACCGACATCTCTCACCAGAGCATCTCCAAAGCTCGTGTGCCAAAACCAGCCTGCCCCAAGCATCTTCCCAGGGAGCAGGATGCGCAGCGGGACTGGTGAGCTGTGCAGGAGCAAGGGGAAGTCTCCAAGGGTGGGCATTGAGTTGGGACTGCAAAGCAGATGACAGCTGGGATGGAAAACGTGGCCGGTATTCCCACCTTCTGCCCTTTTTGGGGACAGAGGAGCTGGCAGGTGGTGGGCGAGGTGCCTCTGAGACCCGCACCCTCCCTGCCCCGCTCCCGCCACCCAGACTCTTTCTAGGATCGCAGGGAGCACTCCAGGCTCTTGACCTTCCCTGCGTTAGCTTGAAATAACACAGGAGTGAGAGTGATAAACCCTCTCGGAGCAGGCTGGGAGGAAGCAAATTGCTGTTAGCAAACAGGCAGCGAGGAGCAATTAAGATACGGGCGGCAGGAGGGGAGTGAGCAGCCACCACTTCCCACTGGACCTTCCTCCTGCACCGGTGGCTTCACCCCCTGGGATCCCGGGCTGTCCCTCGTCCTGAGCAGGGATTCCCTGTGTCCTGGTGCTTTCCTGGTGGTTATGGGTTGATTTGAAGGCTGGTTTCTGCCTTGGTCCCAGCCCAGCACTGGGAGCATCCCCCAATGGGAGCCCCTGTGGGTACCAGGGTAGGGGTGACGGTGCTGGGGAGGTGGAAGCCCAAAGGATGCTCGGTTCACCTGGGAGCATCCCTCCTCGTCACACCGCTGACCTGGAGCTGTCGTGTGCTTCTAGGGACAAAAATACCTGCTGGATCTGGCGTGGGCTGAGGTGCTGAGCACTGCAGACATGGCTCCCGTGGGTTCACAGCTGCAGGACTGAGCCATTAAAGGCATTTCCACCATTTCCTTGGGTTGCAGAAAAGCCTGAGAGAGCCCGTCCTGCAGCCTGGGAGCGGGGATCCATCTCCTCTCCGTGCATCACCCAGAGGCACGGACACGGGGTGCAGGATGAGGCCTCTCGGAGGGACCAAAGCTTGTGGGGTTGCTTTTCACGGGGAGCACTGCTGTCCCCAAAGGCCGTGCAGGAGCAGAGGAAACCTCGCGGCTGCAGGGGACCAGGAAACATTGGTCACCCCGAGGACAAATCAGCCTCAGTGGCCTCTGTGGTTTTTGCAGTGACATCAAGTGCCTTCAATAGTTTTATTATATATTATATGGCTGCTTATCTATTATTCTTGTGATGGAGCCAGAGATTAGCTGCAGGCAAGTGGGCAGAGAGATTCTTCCAGGCTGATTCATGAGCAGTTTCTCCATCCCTCCCCTCCGGCCCTGTTCCCAATGGTTGAAGTTTCAGCTGTGGCAAAAGGCACTGGAATCGGAGCCGATGGGTTGATAGGGAGGACAAGGAAAAAGCAGTGAAAACTGCGCACATAGTGCAGAAAAGCCAGACTTTATTTCCCCTCTTTTGTTGTTCCTTGGGTGTTGCAACCTCTTCTTTTCCTGGTTTGCATATGCAAGCAGAGCTGTGCCCAACGCTGATTGCGAAAGGCGGCGGGGAGAGCGTGGCAGGGCCGGTGACACCAAACCTGCTTTGGGGACGAAAGCAGAGATCTCCTTTTGAGGCCTTTTGCCTGTTTTGGCAGCTCCCCGTGCTGCCCCGCCGGCCAGCTCTCCCCCAGCACAGCAAAGCAAATGGTTTTCCCTTTAATCTCTTTTGCTTATCGACAGCTCCACGTAACCACTGCCAAGAGGAGCAGGGAAACCTTTTTCAGACGCAGAGGTGAGTCAGGCGACAGCTTCCCAGACAGACGGGGATGATCCAGGGCCAGGATGCTCTGGAGCAGGGACCCAGCACCAGGCACTGCCAGCGTGTCCCCTCTGTCTGGTGTCACCCTGCTCTGGCCCCGTGTCCCCCATCACCCTCTCCTCTGTGTCGCTCCTGGCTCCTTCAGGTGCGCTGTTTTGACATTCGCTCTGGTAACTAGTAATTAAACTTAATAAATGAGGGACACCTGGGGGTGATGTCAGAGCGAGGAGGTGCAAATCCACCTCACACAACCTCTGTTGTAACCTGCTCAGCAAACCTCCCCCCCAAGCCAGCAGCCAGACTGTGGGGCAGCAGCACGGAGCTGCCGCAGGGAAGTGCAGGATCATAGAATCACAGAATGGTTTGGGTGGGAAGGGACCTTAAAGCCCCCCCAGTGCCACCCCCTGCCCTGGGCAGGGACACCTCCCACCAGACCAGGTTGCTCCAAGCCCCCTCCAACCTGCCCTTGAACCCCTCCAGGGATGGGGCAGCCACAGCTTCTCTGGGCAACCTGGGCCAAGCTCTCACCACCCTCACACCAAACAAGTTCTTCCCCACATCTCAGCTCCATCTCCCCTCTTTCAGGGTCAAACCCTTCCCCCTCCTCCTATTGCACCCCTCCCTGATCCAGAGTCCCCCCCACCAGCTTTCCTGGAGCCCCCTGAGGGACTGGAAGGGGCTCCAAGGTCTCCCCAGAGCCTTCTCTTCTCCAGGATGGCCATGGCAACTCACAGCAAGGCTCGTGTGTGCCTGGGTGTAGATGTTATATGTGGTTTTACTCTGTATTTTAAGTTTCCACAGTTGGGATGCCTGTGTTTCTGTGCTATGATAAAGGTGCATGGAGGGCTGTGGCCTCAGCTCCGGGGCTCTGCTGGGATGCTCCTGACCCTGGTTTCCACGTGGGGATTCAGAGGCACGGCATGGTGCCCGCTGCTCCCGGCTTCCCAAGGGGCTCTGGCTGGGACCTGCCGTCTTACGGGCCCGGCTGTGTTTACCAAAACAGGGGAGAAAAGCTCCCCTTCGGACGGCAGGAGCCCTAATCCGGGGGGAACAGTTTCCCCACCGATAAGATAACATTGAGGCTTTTCAAAAGGGAGGCAGAAAATCCTGGTGCTGCCGATAGCGTGGAGAAGCCCTTTGCTGCGGGGCGGGCCGGGGAAGCCGTAACGCAGGGGTCGCCTTCCTGGGGCTGGGGGGGGTTATTTTCCCTCCCGGCAAACATTTCCGATGGAGGGCTTATCGGCTGTGCCGTGCCGCCGCGCACCGGCCCCGGGGTCAGGGCAGCCCAGGGATGCTGGCTCCACCACGGCACCTTCCATGGGCCAGGGATGCAAAGCCCAGGCATGACGGCCACTCGGCTGCCAGGACGTGGTGACGTGGGTCCGACCTGGGTTGTACCGTGGGTGTTCGTGGCCAGGGTTTTGGCTGACGTGGGTTTTTAGGGCACGGGGGAGTTTTGTTTCAGCAGCGCTACGTGCGTAGGAGAACTGCCTGAACTGCCCTGAGTTCTTCACGTGTTAAAAAAAGACAGTAAATACCAAGTCGGTGTCTTTCTTGGTCAAAACAGCTTTTTCCTGCTTATGCCGGTGGGGACAACCCAGGCCTGGAGCGCTGCACGTTCCGGCCGTGCCCCCGACGCCCTGTCCTTTCCCCAGGCAGCAGCAGCATGGAGCCTGGGGAGGGGACGGTGCCGTATCCCCGGTGTGAGGGGTGGGTTGGTTGGTGTGAGGGGCTCCTTTTGTCCTCGATGGGCTCTGAGCATCCTTGCTCGCAGTCTCCATCGCAAGCCCCACGGTGCTGCAGCACTTTGTGTTGGGGATGCTCCCAGGGAATCAGCTGGGGATGCTCCTGGGGTATCAGCTGGGGATGTTCCTGGCCCCAAAACAGCCCAGCCCGCGCTGGGGGAGCGATGTCGTGCTGCAGGCTTCAGCCAGGGACTCTCATATCCAACAGGTCTGTGCTGCAGAGACCAGGAGGAGCCTTTGGTTTCGCCTCCTGCAGCGTCCCCATCCCTTGGCTGGGTGTCACGGACAAAGGTGTGAAGGGGTTAATGGTGCCCGGATTTGCCCCACTCCCCCACAAGGGCCCATTTGGGTGCCAGCCTCGACCCACCCCTCAAGGGTTAACCTCAGCTCGGGCTATTCAAACACCTCCAGCTGAGGTAAGCACCCAGCTTGTTTGTTCAGGTAAATAAGGAAGGAATTAGATATAATGGGCACAGGAGGCATTGGGTGAGCACCTTGCACTCTGGCTGTCGGCTGCGCTCTCACATACCCCTGCACGGCCGCCGGCTGGCTTCACCCCCCCACTGCCCTCCGAGGTGCCCTGTCCTCCTCCCTGTCCCTGTCCCCGTCCCTGTCCCACTGGTGCCCGCCGAGAGCCGATGTGGCTCGGCCCGGCCGCCCTGCTGCCGCCACCGGGGTGGCGTTGAGCCGGGCAGGGTGCTGCTGGCCACCCTCCCTGCCGGTGCCGGGGCACCTCGCTTGGAGCCATGCTCGCCCCGGCCACCGTGCCGAGCCACGCGGGGACACCTCTTCCCACCCTACGCCAGGAGCCATGCGGTTTCTGAGCCACCCCAGCACCCTCAAGGTAAGACACGTGCTCCCGTCGCGACCCTCCTTGGCTGCCCCATGCTCCACCAGCACCCACCTTCCCCTCTCCCGGGGCTCCTACAGCCCTTTTTGGCACCGATTTGGGTGCACAGGGTGCCATCCCCTGTCTGTGAGCATCCCACCCCACGGCTCCTCACACCTCCAGGTGCCGTTAGGGCCAAACGGGGACAGGTTGTTCCCCAGTGTGAGGTTCTTGGCACTTCTTGGGATGGTGTCACCTGAAATATAATGGGATTTGCCAACTTTGTGTCTTCGCAACCCCCTCCTGCTGGGGTGAGGAAGGTGGGAAAGGAGCCAGGGCTCCTGGGGCCGTCTCCTCCTGAGCCCACCCAGCCCCAGCAGCGACACTGGGGAGGGTCCTGCCAGCCCCTGTGCCTGGCGGGAGGCAGGGGGTGATGTCCTTTGGGGCACTGTGTGACCAGTAATCATCCAGACCCCTTTATAGAGCGTCCTGGGTGTCCATCCAGGAGCTGCCCGCTCAGGGGTGTCTCTGTGAAGCACTTTGAGCCCCTTTCCCCAACCTGAACCATCTCAGTCCTGCTCTGCTTTTCCGCTGGGTGGGTTTTTTTGTGTGTGTGTGTGCCAGTGCTAAAGGCACGTTGGCTCTAGGTTTGATTTTTGTGGTTCTGCTCGGTTAGTGAAACACAAACGCCGCTCGGCTGCCAAATCCCCCACAATACGGGCTTTCTCATGGGCAGGGAGCTGGCGGGGGAGGAAGGTGCCGCTATAAATAGGGGCTCCCTGGCCCTGCATGGGGAACACCAAGCTCCGCTGCTCACCTGGGGGACACCGAGCACCGGGGCTTTGCTCAGGCCACCCGGTTCTGCCCGTCCCCCCCCACACCCTGCTGCTGTTTGCCTCCCTGTGCCGATGGAGAGGGCAGCCTGACCCGGGCCGTGGGGACCCGTGGGGACACTTGGTCCCCGTGCCAGCACCCATGCAGGTAACGGCGGGAGGAGCTGGGGGGGGTCTTGGTGGTGTTGGGAGAAGGCTGAGGAGGGATCTGAGAGCCCAGGACCCCCTGGGATGGGCTGCATCCCTCCTGGGCATACATCCAACATGAGCCCTGGGCTTGCACTGGCCCCAACCCCATCACCACGTGGGTACCAGAGCCAACCCTCTGGGCTATCACATCCCCGGCCCCCCAGCACCGTCCCAAGCTCCTGCCCCATCTGTGGGGGAGATTTTGGCCAATCCGTCCTCCCTCCACCCAGAGATAAAGGGGTGTGTGGCACAGCAGGGTTTGGCAGCCGGGAGGGACGTGGCACGGTGAGGTTGGCAGGGTGGGTGGGATGGGCTGGCAGGACCTCAAATTGTCAGCAGCCTCTGAGCACCCGGCTCGTGCAGGGACCTCGGGGTCCCCTCACCTGCTTAATCTGAGCCCCATAAAATGTCTCGTGTCTCCTCCTGGCCAGTAGCTTTCTGTCTCCATTGCCTCTCCGTGCCCTGGTGTGGGTGGCCTTGGGGTGTGCATCGTGGTGTGGGCTGGGGGACTGAGGTGGAGAGCTGAGCCCAGGGAGATGGTCGGAAGAAGAGGTGCCAAATCAGACCAGAAAACAGGGAAAAAACACCCAAATCCAAACCCTAGATGGGCTTTTGGGCAGAGAGGATTGCTGGGCGCGTGGGGTCCCCATCCTTTTCCACTGGAGGGGTCCCAGTTTGTTGTGCTGAGCCACATGGGGTGGGCGAAGCTGAAAGGATCGGATAAGGACAAATCCCACTGTCCACGGGGCTGTTCCAGGCTGGGACTGCTCTATGTCCCGCACATCTCTGGTTCAGCACAGCACATCCCTGTCCCCATCCCCAGCCTGGGGGCTGGAGGTGACCCCGGAGCCTGGCCCACCCCCCAGCTGCCAGGAATGGCTTTCGGAAGCGCCCAGGGGTTTGGGAGCCATCCTGGGTGCCGCGGGCAGCACCTCCTCCCGCAGCGGGCCAAGCTCCGCCGGTCCCACGGAGCTTCCAAGCTGTGCTCCGGCACAACCTGTTTAACCGCAGATTTAATTGCAATTAACAGACCCATTGTTTGAGAGTGGTGGATGGGTGGATTTCTTATTTATTTATTTTTTCTTGCTCCCAGGGGCTGATCCCAGCTCTCCCCCATCGCTGGTGCTGGTGTTGCTCCCCTGAGTGCTGGTGGGTTGCCTTTGCCAGGAGAGCTCGGGGTGACACCGGAGGTCCTTGTCCCCATCCTCATCCCCCTGGGCCCTGGCATCTGCTGCTTCCCCGGGCTCTGGATAGGGCTGAGTCACTGCCACCCCACGGTGCTGAGCTGTGACCCTGCACCACCCAAAGCCCTGCTGCTGGCCCCACGCCACGGGAGCCCTGTCCCAGCCCCACTGCCCCGGGCTTCCTGCTGGATGGGAACGTCTGGGTTCATTTTCTCAGCCGCTGTTGGGGCCATTTGGGGACAGGCTGTCGCCGTGCCCCTCGGCACCCACCACTGCCTTTTTCTCCTCGTGCCACCACAGGGAATGAGCCCTTGCACCGGCAGCTCACCCCTTTGCCATGAGATCCCTGAGGTGCTGGTGCATCCCCGTGATGCCGGTGAGAGTGGGGAGAAGGGACACCTCACCTCCGTCCCAGCCAGCTGGGGTGTCCCCTCCCTCTCCGTGGGCAGCACCAGAGAATGACACAGGGTCACTCATCGTTTTGGGGCTCAGGGATGGCAGGTGCCTCCCAGTGGTGCCCCAGTGATGGAGCTGTGCTGTGGGCACAGAGGAACACTCGGGGGGACTCGATGGCTCCATCCCGGTTTTGGGATCTGCTCTACGCTTTGCCTGCCCGTGATGTGGCCACAGGCAGCACCGTGGGGTCGGAAGGGATGGGTGAGGGTGCTGGGGCAGGGGTGGGTGTCCTGCAGGCAGCACCCCACTCTGCCTGGCACCCCAGGAACAGCACCGCTCACACTCAGAGCCCCCCCACAGGCTGCTGGGCCCCCAACACCGCACCAGTCTAGTTGAAGGTGTCCCTGCTCAGGGCAGGGGGCTGGAACTGGGTGGTCTTTAAGGTCCCATTCCATGATTCTGTGATCTTGGCCCCTGTGCATCCACAGAGGCAAACCCTTGGGGGCCGGGAGGGCTCTTATACCTCAGTGGCAGCTCTTTACGGTGCTGTAAGAGCAAATTCCCTGATGGCTTCCCTCTTGCAGGAGGAGCACGATGCTCCGTTGGCATGGCTTTGCCGTGGGTGAGCTCTGGTGTGAAACCCATGGGACCAGGGACTCGGTGCCATCAGCGGGCACAAGCCAGGGGGGTTTGCCAGGGCTGATGCAAGTTCCAGCACAGCCCTGTTCACCTCGGATGGGGAACATGAAGGTTTTTGGGGTGCTCCCCCTGAGCATCTCAGTGCACCTGGGGCTTCCCTTCCACCTCTCCTTTTCCAGGGAAAAGCAATAAGGGAGAGGAGAGGGGAAAGAGCTGCCCAAAGTGGCTTCTCAGAGCAAACAGGTCCCCACCCAGCCCGGCCGCCTGCGTGCCAGAGCTGGAGAAAGTCAAACAAGGGCCCCCGCCCTGAGAGTACAGCACCGTTTGGCAGGTGATTGCTCAGGCTTTCGGGGCCACTGGCCCAAGGGATTGGGTCCTTCTGGTCCAAACTGGGAGGAGGTGGATGGGATGGGGATGGGGATGGGGCTGCCCATCCCGCCGCGTGCCCAGGGATGGCTCCTCAGCCCTGCTCCTCCATGTGGGAGCAAAGCCTGGTGGAGGTGGGATGGATGGAGGATGCACCACGACCCCAGAGCATCCCGGAGGTGTTGGGGATGAGACCCCCGTCCCCTCCCCAGAGAAGCCCCCGTGCCCAGCACTGTACAGTGAGCTGGAGCCGCACAAGCTGTTACCGCTTCCCTTTTGTGCCGGGAGCAGCATGAGGCTGGATTTAGGGCTGATCTCCTAAAGCTCTTCTTTTAATCCAGAGCAAATCAAGGAGAGGTTTGGAAGCCGGCGCCATCTCTCAGGGAAACTGTTTGGGTGGTGGGGGCAGCTGGGTGGCATGGGCACCCCTTTGACCCTCCTCCTCCTCGCTTCAGTGCCACCAAAAACCCGTGGGGACGTGGGCTCCAGCTCCCGACCCCACAGCCCCTACAGGTCCCTGTGGGGTCAGGCTGGTGTGGGTGCTCTTTGGGCAACCATGGCTCCTCCGTGCATTTTTCCAAGTTTTTTTGGGCTTTGCCAAGGGTTAAATGATGGGCAGAGCTTCGTCATGGTGCAGGTGATGCGGAGCTTCAAAAACCATATTCTGAGGGCATCAAAATCCTCAGCGAGTGCATTAAACTCATCCCCACCGCTCTCACTGTGGTTAACGGGGCCATGGCACGCGGCTATTAATGGTGTTTAATTAACGCCTGGGGAGCAGAGCGTGGAGCTGCGCAGCGTTTGGCAGGGCAGAGCCGGGGGACGGTAACGCGCCGTCCTGGGCGTCCCTCCTACGCCAACCAGCCCCGTCTGCCGGGGACCCGATGGTGTGTTTTCCTTTTCAGTCTTCGAAACCATTCCTCCCCCCACCCCCGGCTGGGATTTAGAGCAAACAGGGCCCCCCTTTCCCCCGTCCCCCTTTGGGGGCTGCCTGGTTTCCTCAGGGGTGGTTGAGTTTGGTTCAGGCTTTGCACACTCCTGTTTTTTTATTGCAGGTTCTGTTGCAAAAGCTGCTATTTTTTCTGCTTTTAAATCACTAATTCGGGTTGTTTGTTTTTTTTTTCTTTTTCTGATAAAAAGCAATGCTGGAGGCAGGCAAGGAGCCTGGCAGTGCCCTGGCCGTGCCCATCACCAGCCTCTCCCCTGGCAGGGGCTTTCTCTTCCCAAAGCCTCCCATGGCTCTTGGGGAGGTTTCTGCACGGATGGAGCCGTTCCCTGGTGTTGCCATGGAAATTCAGCAGGCTCATCCTCTTCTCCACGGCCTCCAGGACTCCCCACGTACCAGAGACAGATGGGGACGGGCTGATTTTGGGTAGCTTTTCCTTGCAAGAGGGTAAAAGGAAAGGTCTCATCTGGGGTTTGGCAGTAGCGGCCGAGAGCAGGGTGCTGTGGCTGATTTTGGGTAGCTTTTCCTTGCAAGAGGGTAAAAGGAAAGGTCTCATCTGGGGTTTGGCAGTAGTGGCCAAGAGCAGGGTGCTGTGGTGCTGGTCCTCAGCCCAGCAGAGCCGGGTTTGGGTGCCATCACTGCTGGGGCATCCTCAGGTGAAGGCAGCAGGTGACGTTTCCCATCCACAGAAAAGTGCCCGTGGGGTTCAGGCATCTCACAGCCCTTCATGGCCATGGACCACCCTCCATGGGTGCCTTGGAGCCCCTCCAACGTGCTCCGCTCTGCCTCCTGCAAGGACACTCAGCCCCAGCTGGGACTGAACTGCTGCCAACTCCGTGTGCAATCCAGAGGAGGACCCTAAAAGCCCATGGTGGTCAGGACCCACTTGCCCCCTGGGCTCCTTCTCCCTGCTGGATGCTGCGCCTGGTCTTCCCAAAATCAGGAGAGCCCCCCAGCCCCATGGCTGACCCCGAGCCTGCATTCATCCGGGGGCTTGCGGGGCACCGTGGGGCTCTTTGGAGGTTTTTTCCCCCCTCTAACAGGCTTAGTTCCTCCCTTTGTGCCTGGCCGCTGGGCGGGAAGGCAGGGATCGGTGCCGGGGTGAGCCTCCCCTCTTCTCCTCCTCTTCTCCTCTCCCGGCAGGTTGGGAGCTGAGCGGAGGGATGGGCAGCACCAGCCCCGGAGTGACCGCTCTGCCCCACAGCTGCCTGGCCCGGCCGGACCCTGCCCTGCTGCCCCCCCCCCGGGACCCCGACACCCAGAGCTGGGGGTGCCCGGAGAGCCCCAGCCCCCCCGCCACCCCCGAGCAGCCCCTGCCTACCTTCTGCCTGCACTACTTCGACATGCTCTACTCGGAGGACATCGCCTGGGCCACCAAGGGCGTGGGGGAACCGTCCCAAAGCGGGGCCCAGGGGGGGCGAGGGGAGGCGCAGAAGGAGCCGGAGCAATGTCCCATCATCGACAGCCAGGGCCTGGGGCTGGGGACCGAGGGGGGGGACCTTCAGGCCAGCCTGCACCTGGAGGAGCACTCGCTGGAGCAAGTGCAGAGCATGGTGGTGGGCGAAGTGCTGAAGGACATCGAGACGGCCTGCAAGCTCCTCAACATCGCTGCAGGTGGGTGTCCCCCCCCAGCCCTCCCCGGGGGGCTGCCGGCCAGGGTTGGCCCCACCGTGGGGTGCAGAGAGGGAGGGATGTGCCCACGTGGGGACTAACACCATGATGGGGGAGTGATGCCGTGCTGCGGGTTGGGGTTTACAACCAGGAGCTGGGGTTTGGGGGGGCACGGATGCTGCTGCCTGGCTCCCCCCAGGCATCGCTCCAGGGCAGGGCTGGTCACTAACACCCAGGGATGCCAAAAATTACCCCTCTGCCCTCCCTGGCTCCAAGTTAAGCTGAGGCAGGGGTTAGCAGGGCTTCATGCAGAGCCCTGTGCCGGGGGTGGGGGTACCAGTGTGACCCCACAGGAAGGTGCAGGGAGCAAGTGGGGGTCCCAGAGCCGGGGAGGTGACCTGATGCTGAAGCTGTCCCCTCCCCAGAGGTTGGGGGTCCCTTCCCCTCCCAGGGCACCGTTATCGAGGTGCTTTTCAGACCCCTTGGGGAGGCTGTGCAGCAGAAAGGAGCAAATGGCACAACTTCTATTATCCTTTTCTCTATCCTGTTTTCCCTGGGACATTGGGAACAGGCGGATGAGTGCATGGGGTTGGGGACAGCCTGCAGCCAGCTGGTGTCACCCAGGCTGGGCATGGGAATAGGTGCGAGGGGAGTAGGAGAGCTCAGGACTGAGTTCTGTGGGGTGTTGCAGCCATGGGGCATCTCTGGGGGATTCTCCTCGGGACATGGCTGCCGTCACACAAGCAGCCTCGGGGTGTGCTTGGGCTCTTGCAGGCTCTGCCACCCACTCCCTTGAAGCACTCGGTGTCACCCGGGATGGTGCAGGGAGCAAGTGGGGCTCCAAAAGGCTGGATGAGGCTTCCCAAAGCAAAAAGGAGGTGGCAAGGGGACAGTGTGCCCCCAGAGAGCAGGGCAGGCTCCCACTCTGGTGGGTGATGCTCAGCAGGGCAGGAGGAACCGTGTTCCCGGGGCTGCTGTGGGGTGAGCTGAGTTTCCCTGGGCTTTGCCCCCGTTGTCACTGGCCGGGCTCACCCTCTGCCTCCAGACCCCGCGGACTGGAGCCCCGGCAACGTGCAGAAGTGGATCCTGTGGACGGAGCACCAGTACCGGCTGCCGCAGATCGGGAAGTCCTTCCAGGAGCTGTCGGGAAAGGATTTGTGTGCCATGTCTGAGGAGCAGTTCTGCCAGCGCTCGCCCGCCTGCGGTGACATCCTGCATGCCCACCTCGACATCTGGAAGTCTGGTAGGTGCAGGGACCGGGAGGGTGGGTGATGCTGTGCAGCAGGAGATGCCCCTCTGACCACCCGCTCCTCCCTTCCAGCTGCCTGGATGAAGGAAAAAGCTGCCCCGGGGGACGTCAGATATTGCGGTGAGTTCTGCACTGGCTCAGCTTCACTGGTCTCCCTTCTGCCTCAGACAGGTCTGGGGTGTTTGAGAGGTCGCTCCCTGCTTAATTGCAATTATCCGGTGCATTGGAGCGGCTGCAGCAGCATCCATGTGGCTGCACTCCCTCTGCCCCGCAGCAGCCGCTGGGCTGTCTGCAAGGTGCAGCAAAGGGAAAATGGCCATGAGACCCTCCCCAGTCCCACCCCACACCCCGTGCATCCCCGCAGGGTTGCACAAGGGCAGGACTGAGCTGTTCTCCCAGCTCCAAGAGGGGGAGGAGAAAGCGGTGCTTCCAGACCCAGTGCCTGGTCTGAGTCTCCAGAGACCCACAGGCTGGGATTTCGCGGACGAGGACTCGTGGGGGTCCCTGGGGCTGTACAAAGCAGCGAGGTCTCTTTCCCCAGCCCCATCTCACCCATCCCTTCCCGTGGCAGGAGGTGATGCCAGCTGGGCGGACAGCGAGGTGGACTCATCCTGCGCCGGCCAACCCATCCACCTCTGGCAGTTCCTCAAGGAGCTGCTGCTGAAACCCCACAACTACGGCCGCTTCATCCGCTGGCTCAACAAGGAGAAAGGTGGGTGGGTGGGTGCTCTGGTGGCCCTGGGGTGGGTGCTGGCAGGGATATAGGGGGGGCAGGCGAGGCTGTAACCCTCTCCTGTGTCCTGCTCCCCTCCCAGGCATCTTCAAGATCGAGGACTCGGCACAAGTGGCCCGTCTGTGGGGCATCAGGAAGAACCGCCCGGCCATGAACTACGACAAGCTGAGCCGCTCCATCCGGCAGTATTACAAGAAAGGCATCATCCGGAAACCCGACATCTCCCAGCGCCTCGTCTACCAGTTTGTCCACCCCGTCTGAGTGGTGGCAGAGGGACAGGCTGAGCCCCGGGAGGGACAGGGGACCTTCACTGCCCTCCTCTGCCTCCCAGCCACAGAAACCATCTTCCAGCGCTAAGGACCACGGCTGGGGTGCTGAGAGGCTTGATTACCCTCCCAGGACCTGCTGGCAATGGACTGTGGGACCCCCTTCACCCCTCCAGCCTTGGAGGGGAGGGATGAGCCCCCAGATGAGGGACCACCACCCTCACCTCCTGCGAGCGCTCCCAGTGCGGGGTGGACGTGGACTTTGGGGCTGGTGGAGAAGGTGTGGGGTTGACTGGGGTGAGATAAAAGCAGATGGATCTGTGGGTGTCACAAGGGCTCCCCGCAGCCTCAGTGTCTTTCGAGCAGGGATCAAAGTGGGGTGCGTGGTCACCCAGAGGAGGAGCTGGGGGGACACAGGTGTCCTGCCCCCAGGTCTCTTGCCCCCTGGCACGTTGTCCTCTCACCCCACAGCTCCAGGGCATTGTCAGGACACAGGGGCCAAGGGCACGTCTCAGTGGGAGACCCCAATATCCCCGTGGCACCGTGACCTAGGGCTGCTTTGGGGGCTGGAGGTGAGGATGACATCGTTGGGGTCCTTCCAGACAGTTCCTGTCCCCGTGCCACCACCGGCCTGGCTGTGGGACCAGCTGCCCTCGGTGCCCATCAGGAGTGACCCTCTGTGCTGGATTTCCCCCAACGAGCAGCCCCTGGCCCTCAGCCCTGTCCGGGGTTGGGGGCAGCATGGCCGGGGGGGGGGTCTGCCCTTTGCTGCACCCCAACCCTCAGCTGCAAAGAAAGGGGCTGCCCCAGTTTCAGGCGCAGGGGACAGTGGCTGGGGTCATCCCTCCCTCCCTCCCGGGTGGGCGCTGGCTGTGGGTGGCTTCGCCCCGGCCATTGTTCGGGGAGGACAAAGCCCAGGCATGTGAGCAGGGACAATGGCCCCCAAAGGGACAATGGCCCCTGCAGGGACAATGGCCCCCAGGGACAATGGCACCCACAGCTGCTCCTCAGCTGGGCTCCCTCTGACCCGATCTGTGCGGGAGCAGCCTGGCACCGGCGGCACCGCAGCCCCCAGGGGTGCTGCCAGCCACGGGAGCTGGGTAACTGGGGACCACGGGCATCCCCTTGGGGTGGGTGCATCCCCCCTCTTTGCTTCCTGCTCGGCTTCTCCCCTCCACAGGGATTTGGGGCTGGAAAAGGGTGTTTTGCAAAAGGAACGGCTGTAAAACATGGGTGCGGGGCCGTGCACACTGGGGCATCCCTGCAGCTGTGAGGGGTCCCCCAAGCTGAGTCCCCCATCCTTGGACATCGGGCCACCCCATGCCCCCTGAAGCCCCAGGGTCCTTGGCCCTGGCACCGGGCTCTTCCCTTGATTTGGATTTTGTTTGGACTTGCCTGATTCCTGAGCTTGGGAAAAGGGAGACGGCAGCTCTGCTGCTTCCCTCTGGATGGTAAATCTGAAACGCAACCCGCTGAGCCCGGACTGGGATGGAAAAGTGGAGATTGCCTAAACTGCATGTTTCACGAGAGTCTAAGTTACCTGGTGATGTTGATCTTTTATATTATAATTTTTTTTTTATTTGTTTATTTGCTTTTTGGTTTTGGCTGGCGGCAAGTTGTGGTTTAGGTTCAAATGATGCGGGTAGACGGGCGGCCTGGGTACCCACGAGATGCTTTGTGGGAGGCAAGAAAACCACCTGGTTGTTGGTCTCTTTGTTTTTAACTTCAAATAGCTGCCTGTAACAGCTCCTGCCTTTTTCCTTTCGTTCTGCCTGTGTCATACTGTTCACACGGCGGAGGAGCGGACGCGCTCTGGCCAGCCTTGTAATCATCCCGGCTGGAGGGAGGAGAGGAGCAGGAGAAAAACTGCCTTGGCCTCTGGAGAAGGGGGGCGGGGGGAGAAAGAAGGAAAAAAAAGGCAGCAAAATGTGTCTTGTGATTTCCTGTGTGCGACCGATGCTCCTGCAGCTGGTGTAGGGAGAGGTCAGAGTTTCCCCCAGGCCCCTTGCAGCTCCAGCCCTTAAATGAGGGAAAATAAATCCCTTTTCTCTGCCCTCTCCCCATGGGGATTCCAGGGAGTGACCCCACACCCTGCCAGGTCCCGATCCCTCCACCCCGTCCCCCTCGGTCACTGCCCTCTCTGGGGAGGCCGGAGGGGTGGGTGACCCGCAGGTTGGTTTTCCCAAGGTTTCGAGGCTCGTTGGCAGCCCGAGGGGGGGTCTCCAGCCCCCTGCCCAGCTCCCTCTCATCCCGCCGGGGCTTTCCCCTCTCCCCTTCCCAGGGCACGGGGGCTGATGCTTTTGCTGGTGCTGGGAATGGCCCCAAAACTGCTTAATCTTGAACTCCCCCCTGTGGGTTTCAGATGGCTTTTCCTGGCACGGGCTCACGCACCCACCCCGGGCAGGGCAGGGGGGGCCGTAACCCCGACACCCACCTCCACGGGGGACGGACCGGCGCACGGAGCCAAACGAGGACCCAGACCCGGAGGACGCTGACAGAGCTCGGTTATTTTCTCTTGCTGCTTTTTTGTTGTTGTATCCACGGTAATACAATCACGATATATATATATATATTATATATATACTTCTTAAATTACACAATCAATGTACAAAAAACCGGGGTGCATTGCTGAGACAGGTGGTTGGTTGGGTTTTTTTCTGACTTTTTTTTTTTGTGGTTTGTTTTTTTTTTTCCTGTTTGCATTTCTGGCAGGGGATGCGCGGCCGGGCGGCTCTCGCCCACCATGCCCAGCACATGGTGCATCTCCTGCCTCCGCCAGAACACTTGATCCCTGGGGCCAAAAAATTCACAAACCCACGGAGGGGGCAGGAGAGGAGAGGGGAGGAGGGAGAGGAGCATGTGGGAAGACGACGGCATCGATGCTGCTGAGGGTGATGGTGCAGAAAAAGAATGAGAGATGATCTGTAGGGAAGAGCTCGGGGTGGCCAATGTGCCCGGGTCGGGGAGACCGTGCTGGGTGGCAGCGCCCGTGGGTGCTGAGGGGCTCCTGTCCACCCTTTGAAGAGCCCAAGTGCAGGAGGGGTAGAGCCCCTTGGGGAAAAGCAAAGGGCAAAGCCTGAGGCTGTTCCCCTGCTTTGGCGTGGCTTGTTTTCAGATGTCTTCTCCAGGCAGCTGCTTTGATGCCCAGGCTGGGATCTGCTGCCAGCCCTGAGCCCTCCTCATCCTCCGGCCGGTGGCAGCTCCCCCCGGCTCCGTGCAAGGCTGGACATTGCTTATCCCCCATCCCTACTCTGCTCTTGCCTCTCTTTGGGAAGGGGACAGGCGGGGACCATCCCCAGCAGGATCCAAGATGGTCCCCGCTATCCCAGGCTGGATGTGAAGGTGCTTCCAGCAGCACTGGGCTGCGGTGGGTCCTTCTCCAAACAGTGTTGGATTTCTTGGCCATCTCACCTGGATCTGGTGATGGTTGGTGACTGCCCTCATGAAGGGTGATGCTGCTCCCTGCAGCACATGTGGGGCGTTGACTCAGGAGCCTCCATCCACTCCAGAAACATTGGCCGCCTGGGTGCAAAGAGAAGGAAGCTGGGGAGATACCACCAAGCTCCATGGCAGGGCTGGTCCCAGCTCACCCGGGCATCTCAACCTGCCACCAGCTCTGCCAGTGAGCAGGGACCTGCTCGCGGATGGGGCCGGGTGGCTGCGGGGCAGGAGGGGACGCTCGTCCCCTTCCTTCTGGGAGGGAGGATGAACCGGTGAGAAGAACATGGAAACACCAAAAAAAAATGGAGTCTGCCTCCAATCCCTCTCATTTTCTGGGGGTGAATTTGATTGGTCCCAGGAGCTCCAATGCCATGCATTTTGGAACAGTTCCAGCCAATCAGAAGGCGGCTCATGATTTCAGTATCTTTAAAAACCAACCAATCAGGAGCTCTCACTGGTTGGGCTTCAAGATCTTGAGGTATCGGCTTTTCGCTCAGAAAAAAAAATCAACTAACGTAGACGAACAGACAACGTCATCTTTCGCTTCACGTTATCTTAGAAGAAGAAGAAGAAGAAAGCGACTATGCAAAATACTCTTCGGAGACAACTCTTAAAAAAATAAAAGCTTGGTCGGAAAATATGTCTGAATCTCTAACTGTGAGGAGTGAAGGACCAGACGGCAAAATGGCTGGTTGGCTGGTGGAGAGATGGAGACAACGGAGGGTGGATTTATCTGCTGACGGCGACGAGGAGCACACCACAAGATTTAGATTGCCTCCACGTAGTTGGCGGGGTAGAGACCTAGCTGCCCGTTGTCCAAGCGCCCTTTGCACCATCCTTGCTCGTCTTCTTCACCAAGTTTGGTTAGTTCATCACCTGGAGAGGAAGGTGGGAAGGGGAGAGCTCATTGCAGGTGTTGGAGCCTCTTCTGTCCCCTAATTTCTCCCCTTGATGGAGCTGCTGGGGGTTCCTGTGGCTGATCCTGAGCATGCAGGTTAGTAGGGTAGAAAAGGCAAGTGGTGACCCATAAGACCTCACATGTCCTGACCCACCATCGCTCTGGTTCCCACCTGGGTTTGGATTCAGCTTGTGCCTTCCCCTTTCTGTCAGCCCAACATTTTGTAGGACTGGGTTAACCCACAAACGATTTGAGGGATTTTACACCAAAAAGCAGAGCAGTGTGGGACCCGCCGCTCCAGCAGCCGAGCCCCAGCCAAGCCAGCACCGGCGATGGACTGTACCTGCTTTGAAGCTGAGCTCGTCCTGCTCCTGCCCGTCGTAGTCGTACAGAGCCCGCACCCGCACGCCCTTCCCCGCCGACTCCTCGTCGAAGGGGTTGGTGCCGCCGTTGGCCTCACTGGTGTTGAAGGAGTTGCTGCCTTCATCATCGGACCACTCGGCGCTGTAGGTCTGCCCACGGTCGTGGCTGCTCACACTGGGGGGGAAGGAGGGAGAGGGGCCATCAGAACAGTTGGGGGATGGTGGGGTGACAGGCACCACGTGCCACCAACATCTGGGAGGATGCTCTGGCTTTCCCGAGGTTCTGGGGAGTGCAGTGAGCAGGACCCCCAGATAGCGACATGTCCAGCAAGACATGGAGGGAGGACAGAAGAGCAGTGGCTGTCACCAAAGACATCCCGTGTCCCCACAGCACTGGCAATGTTTGCACAGGCAAATGCTGTGCCTCTTCTGTGGCTTCTCCACTCTTCCCTGGCTCTCACCTCCCACGCTCGCCCGCCGATGCCCCCGTCTCGCCCGTGCTGCTGGTGTTGGTCAGGGCCGCCCCCTCGCCCTTCTTCTGCTTCTCCTTCCGTGTTATCGTGTGCGTCAGGTCGGGGTTCCACTCCTGCCAGCACAAAGCCACCGGTCCCTGAGCACCGGGCTGCCCCGTGGGGCTGCCAGCTCCCCAGTTGGCGTGCCCAGCCTCACCTCGAACTGGGGCCAGTTCATGGCCATCCCGGGGCCACTGGTGCTGCGGAACCACCGGAGATCCTCCTGTGCGTCCGAGAGGCGGATGGTCTGCTCCAGCTCCCGGTAGACGTTGGCGTAGCTGCAGGGAGAGACAGGGGTCGGGGTGCTGTGGGTGGGGGTGAACCCCAGCGGGGTGGGACGGGGACATGCCCAGGTTGTGTCACCTCCTACGAGGCACTGGGGGGCACCAGGCTCCCGCACAGCCCTGTGCCACTCTGGTAGCTCTTAGTGACCATCTTGTTGGCCAGAAACCCCTCTCCCCTGTATAGCAGGAAGCACCCCATCCCTCCAGGGCTTGGTTTGCTTTCCAGGCAGCACAAGGAGACCTTGCAGGGTCACCTTCTGCCCAGCCAGGCAGGAGACACCTACCTGCTGCTCTCAGCCAGGTTCAAGTGCCTCTTGATGTCCAGGAGCACTTCCTTGAGGAAGTTGAGCCTCTTCTCCTCAAACTGCTGGCACTGCTCGAAGACCTGCTCCATGCTCTCGATGTACTGCGGGGTGCACTTGTTCAGCTCATCCAGCACCTTCTCGTACTTCTCCTGAGTCTGCAAAGGTACAGGAGGGTACCTTGGTTATACCTCGAGCACCTCAGAGGCCCTTTCTGGGTGCTGGGAGGGTCTGGCTTGGGGGCCACCACGTTGGGGAGCCCAGATTGAGCCAAGAGCCTCTGTGGCTGAAATCAGTGTGGTTGCCAGCAAGATTTTGCCCCAGTAAGAGGGGTAAATCTCAGCCCTGCTCACGCTCCCCTGAGCCCTGCCTCACCCTTCTACAGGCGGGCAGGGATGGGAAAATGGGACTGAATCAGAGGGAAAACCGAGTGATGCCCATTTCCACTCATTTTCCCTGCCTCGTGAGCCCAGAGCAGTGCAGCAGTTTGCACCTTTTGCACATCTTGCTTGCACTTTTCTACTTTGTCCTGGAGCTTCTTCTGCTGCTCGGGGGTGTTGGACTGCTCCGCCTTGCTGTTGGCTTCCCGGGTCATGGCCAGCTTCTCCTCCTTGCATGCCAGGTGGTAGGCTTTCTTGGCCGTCTCCAGCTGTGGAGAGGAGAGAGAAGGGACATCAGAGCAGCAGTCACAGCCCCCTGCCCATCCCTCTGCCCGCAGGGATGTGCCACCCAGCTCTCCCAGCCTCAACTGGGCACCCAGAGTTGAAGCTGGGAGATGGCGTGGGTGCCCCAGGACACGCTGTGCTTCTCCTCTCACCTCCTTGAGCTTCTTGGCCCAAGGCTTTTGGGCTTTCCGGAAGCCATCCTCAGCTTCCTTGGCCTCCTTGAAGCCTCCCATGATCTGCTTGTGGTAGGCGTCCTTCTGCCAGTTCTTGACCTTCTCGAAGTCGTCGTTCAGCAGGCTGTTCTTCACCTCCTGGTGCAGCTCACTCACCTTGTCTGCCTCCGTCATGATGGCACCCCACGCCTTCTCCAGGCTGCCATACTGGGGACCTGTAGGGCAGAGGGGACAGCTGAGTGTCACCCCACAGCCCTTACCCCCTCCACCTCTACCGTGCGAGG